TATATATATATACACACACACACACATATACATATCTACATACACACATATACGTATACACACATATATATGTCTGTGTGTGTTTTATACTTGAATATGAATATATATGACTATATTGATAAACTAAGTTCTTGGTGTCAGGAAGTCCTTGATATTCTCAAAAGGTGCAGGGAGATGGGACTGGCAGGGGGCATGGGGGTTAAGAGCTCTGGACTCCCACATGGCCAACTGTGGTTCAAGTTCCAGATCTGATGGCTTACTTTCTCTCTTTCTCTCATTCTGTCCCTTTCTGGTCAAGTTTAAATACATACATACATACATACAAGTTAAATAAAATAATTCTTAAAAAAAAAAAAAAAAGAATGGGTTCTAACTCTCACAGAGGCTACCCTCTAGAAGAGAACGTGGACCAAGAAGCCAATGTAAAACTGCAGTTACGATAAGTGTTACCAAAAAACTCCGAAGGTGCAGGGAGACGCCATGGCTGGACACACATGGTGCTCAGTCGTTTGGCTTCTGCAAGGTGGGATAAGGCAGCCGCGGTGCTAGGAGGAGATCCAGTCCTTCAAGGAGACAGGGTAGGGGTCTTCTTCAAACAGCAGATGCCCACAGATTTCCCAGGACAATACCAGCAAGGATGGGTTCAAGGGGATCAGTTCAGAAGTCTCAACATTCATGTTTTCTTCCCAAGTTGTTAGGAGAAAGTCACGACTTCAAAGTGACTTTCTTTAGGCAAGAAAGGCAGATCCTTGCTCATCCCCTATCTTTTTGGGGAGTATTTTCTGGGGCGAATAGCATGTCTTTAGTGCCAGGGTGCCAGTGGGAAACAGTGTCTTTCTAGTTAAAGGCAGAGCTGGGCCATGCTGGGATGCTCTGCACTCAAAGACTTGGCGAAGGATTCTGAGGGAGCTCTTGGCAGTATGGAGAAGTGACGTCAAGTACTTGCTTGGGTACCGTGTAGAGAAAGACACAGGATCACCTCATGGATGTCCTGCCAAAAAGTCACACCTGAATCTGATGGTGAAGAGACACTGGACTAACCCCCTCTGAAGGACATGCTGCAGAACAATTAGTCTGTAGTCTTCAGAAAGCCTCTAATTCAGGGCCAGCAGGTGGCATGGTGGTTAAGGTGTTGGACTCCTATATAGCTGACCACAGTTCGAGTCCCAGACTGGGTAGCTTAAAAATCATACCTGGCACATTTATGTGCATGCCCAAAATCCCAGGAGGAGAATGGATAAGGGATTGCAGTGTGGCCATCCCCCCAGGGGATGATTTCTCATTTTCTCTCTCTCTGTCTCTTCTTGGCAAGTGCACACTCCCCATGGCATGAAACCTAATAAATAAATTAATTAAATTAATTATTTTTACAAAAGCATCAAGCTTAAGACAAAGAAAGAAAGGTTGAAGCAATGTTCTGGATGTTCTGGAGACAAGATAGCCACATGTGACATGAATTGAATTACAGCCTGAGGAAAGACGTCTATGAAGGGCATTACTGGGACAATTGCCAAAATTCAAATATGGACTGCAAATTAAACAATAGTATTGTTTTATATTAAACTTTCTGATTTCGCTAAGCCTGCCGTGGTTATGAAAAATAATGTTTTTGACCCAAGGATAGTTACACTCTGGTATTTAGGCCTCAAAGCCATATCTCCATTTTTTCAAGTGATGGGGAACAAAACCAACATGCTTATGTACAGAAATATAGAGGAAATGGAGAAGCAAATGACAGGACCAGCAGTTGGCGCAATAGCTATGTCGTTGGACTCCCACGTAATCAACCACAGCTTGAGTCCTGGACCCGGTGGCTTAAACTCACACCAGGCACGTGTGGGTGTGTGCCCAAGATCTCAAGAGGAGAATGGAGAAGAAGGGATTGCAGCGTGGTCATGCCCCCTAGGGGGTGATTTCTCGCTCTCTGTCTCTTTCTGTCTTTCTGGTGAACTCTTGCACTGTATAACAAAGAGCTCTCCAAAAAAAAAAAAAAAGAAGAAGAAGAAGAAGCAAATGAAGGTAGTGATGAGGGAAAACAGAAACAAACTGGGGAATCTGGGTAAAGGTTATATGGAAGTTCTTGAACTATTCTTCTAGCTTTTTTGAAAATTTGAAATTATGTCTAAAAAATGTTGCAAAGTTGTAAACACATAAGCAAATCTGGGCATACAATTTTTTTTTTCCCCTGTGGTGTTTGGCAGGGACAGAGATAAGGAAAGGAAAATAAGAAAGCATCTCTGGGACCAGCAGATAGTATAATGGCTATGTCGCTGGACTCCCATGTAGTTGACCATGGTTCAAGTCCTGGACTCAGTGGCTTAAACTCACACTGGGC